CGATTGCTATTTTGAAAGGATCACGGGCCCAGTTATCAGAGCGACTAGTCGCTATGCCACAATTCACACAGCGATCCATTGAGTCCTTATCGAGTCGATAAAATTTAGGTCATAAAATCCAAAATAACGAGCCAAAGTCAAACTAGTGAACAAGATTATCGGTGTTCGGTATGTTAGCAAAGATCATACAAGTTAAGTAAGATCAGAAGTCCGTAGAAAAAAAGCAGTGGTCGGGCAATGTAGATCAGTAAAACAACGGGAAACACCTAAAACACACTCGTACTACGAAACCAGTGATTATAGATTGAGCTATGCAGGAACTGTCACTATCAGCACAGATTAAAAATACAGTTAACAAACACAAGTAATAAATCGAACTGTAAACGTGAAACGATTTTAAGATTTATTTGTATTATGTTTATCTTTTATTTTTCAAACTATATTAATATATTGTAATGTATCTATTTACTTTAATTGAATTAATCATCTGATGTAAGTTGTTTTTATGTTAAATTGTTAAAACTCATTCACATTAATCGATTAAAGGAAGCGATTTCCTATTTTATTCGTGACATAAACTTATTTTCAAGATTTCTCGTCTTCCAGATTGATAATTGGGCAATTTTTTTAATATTTTGAAATAAAAAAATATAACGCTTTTTTTAAACCATATTTCCACTAATTACAATTGGGGCCAGAAATCCCCGTCTCCTTTGATTTGTCACTCTTTCCTCATACATTCTCTCTACATGAATTTGACAATAATATATAAAATGAAGTATACTCATCGAGCGTTTTTTTTTCCTTTAGAGGAAACTTATTTAGAGACGTTATTGGATTAACAATAAAACGATGTCTCAGTCACTGAGCTAAGCTGGTTTTATCTAGTCCCCACACCCAACCTAACTACTATGAAAACATAAATTGAAGGTTCATTACGGCTCTTCAACCGGTGAATTATATCTCTATTCCATATAATAAATAAAGATCAAAAATAAATTGTCGTTGAAATGAGCTTTAAAATTGTTGTTAGCTTACAAGATTTTTATATGTAAAATTTATTTAAACTATAATAACAGCTTTAGATACTGTTGCTAAGTTTAATTGTACATGCAATTTAAACAAAGCTGCGCTAAATTTCATTATTAACTGACGAATTTCACGACTTTTTATAGCGGTAATAATTAACACTGTATAAAGAAGTTGGCTACTGGACGTTAACGTGAGAATGGGAACTTGTAATGTGCTACATTAAGTGTATGCGAGGTATAAAATCAGATCTCAAATCATAATCCGCTCCCATTTACACATCATAGGTTAACTATTTGTAAGAGCCCGCTAGTATAAAGCAGAATTTTTGAAAAGTGAACGGATGAGCAGTGTTTACGAAGTTACTTCAGGTATTCTCATCGCCCAAAATCTGAAGAAGAAAGTATTTGAACAGTCCGTCCTGCCTGTACCTACTCATTAACGACACAAAACTTCAAGTTCACAGTCGAAGGTCGGCAAAATTCATGTTAAACTAATCTGCCGGAGAGCTGTGGTCACTGGCGTAGCCTTACGTTTGCAAAACTAAAGTTTTATCGCAGAAGTGACAACCGTTGGTGTAAACGTGCCACGGAGTAAGTACTTGAAAGGAGCGACGATCTGCTATGCACAAGATGCCTGACAGCAACTCGATGCATTTTATATGTGTTTTGTTTTGTAAATTTATATTTGCGTGCTTTGTAGCCTAAGTTTGAAGTAATTTTATGTGTTCTGTTTTGTTAATTTATAAACGGAAAAATAAACTCTTCATATTAATTTATAATATTAATATAAAGTATATCTTTGATTTCAGTTACGTTCACAGAATAATCCATTTAATGCAGTTTATTTTCTCTATTTCGGACTTAACAAATTTAAATGCGATATTCAATGTCCATTTAGATGGCTCGTTTCGTATAAAAGTACTCAATTTAGCGGAAATTTACGTAATGTTTGTCTGCCTCCAGGAAATCAGCTTTCTGTTTGAGTAAAGGTTTCAAAGGAAGCGTAAATCCGGAATAAGATCACAAAGATTAAGCGTGGGCGTGACACACATCTTTTATGCGTCGTTAACTTCTAAAAATAGTCTAAAAATAGCCTGACTGTCGGTTTTGTTCTAGTGTAATTACATATAAATTACACAAGAACTCGTATAATTTATTTATACGTAAACACCTCTAGGCTTTATAATATATTCCTACAGTAGTTTTTAGTTTTTTAATATACATAATATGTATATTAAAATATTATATATTAAATATTGTATATTAAATATATTTACATATTATGTAAATATAATTAAACTTGTTTGAAAATCTCTTTATTCACAAGTCTGAAATTGAAGTGATTTACAAGCGTCTTCAATTATATTTATGTGTGTATTAAAAAAAAAACTAAAAACTACTATAGGAATATCTTATAAAACATTTTGGTTTCTTTTTTGAAATTTTCCTATGCCTAGTATAGTTCTTATCACGATACTTACATTGGCCGCGAGGAACTTACGATCAACCTTCTTTAATTCAGATAGTTGCCACCAGGTATCGAAAATATAAAATTTCAGTATTCGGTTTTTGTTTAGGTTCTTATAAATTTTCCACTTTTCGTAACGAGTCCGGTTCTGGTTGCGGTTAAGATACCGGTTTAAGATACGGGTTTTAAGCACCATTAGGGATTTTTCAGATTTTAAATTGAAGAGGGAAGTTTTCTAGAGTTGTTGTTTAGTTTTATTTTTATACTAGCTGTTCCCCGCGACTTCGCCCGCGTGGAGTTATTTTTCGCGGAACCCAAGTTAAAGTTAAACGCAGCCCAAGTTAAATGCTTATTACATTACACGATTTCTCGGGCCCTGCCCGCAGGGACAGGGTACTGTAATAAGAAACAGGGAGTCAGGGTCCCTAAACAGGGCGACCGAGTGGTTCCGACCGCCCTGCTTCCCTGCCGCGCTGTAGATCATGTAGTGTAATAAGAGACAGGGAGGCAGGGAGCTCAGTTGCGTGGCCGCATGCGCACAGTCTACACCACAGAGTACCTTTATATATTGGTCTACACGTTTGTTTATTTAAAGTTCTACTATGTCGATCTACTCTCTAAATCATTACACGTATTTATGTCATGCGCTGAAGAAAAAGATCCTTCTCAATGTCATCGACATCTACAAATAAATACCTTATCAAATCTCGATAGGAGTTTCCAGTGGCCAAAATCGTAAAGTGACAACCAATCTCTCTTAAAAAAGTATTCTTTTGAATAAAACTTCTTTTACGGATCCCATCGCGTTTAATTTTTTTTTTATTAATTCCCGACGTTTCGGGTGCTTTACCACCCATGGTCAGAGAGAATGGTTGCTGTAAAGCATCCGAAACGTCGGGAATTAATAAAAGAAAATTAAACGCGATAGAATCCATACAAGTAGTTTTATTCAATGTGTAGTGTTCGCGTAAATATAAGAAATCATTAAAGTATTTTTTTTTTCTATTAAAGGCGTTACTAAGCTTAATAACTCGTCGAATTGGTTTTCACCTACTCTTTAAAATAGTTTCGTAGGTCTGTTGGGTCCAAAACGCTGACTATTTGCATATTCGATAGTTTTTCTCTGAGGAGCAAATATTTTTTCATCCACATTTAACTTTCCTTCCTTTTTTTAGCTTGGCCTTGCACGTTACCGCCAGCCAAAGTTTTTTTTTTAGGATAGGGTGACAAACGAGCAGACAGTCCACCCGATGGTAAGTGGTTGCTGTGGCCCATAGACACCTACATTTATCCTCGTATGCGAATCAAAATGCAGATGCGTTGTGTGTTGTGTGAGGACTGAGATCGAATGCCTCTTTTCCAGTAAAAAGGGTCTCCGGTTCTCTACACTCAAAACTTAAACTTAACAGCCTTAAATATAATTAGGTACTTATGCCTAAGCAATTAGTGTTTGAAAACTTAACCATAACTTTAAAGGGCATTATAAAAAGTTAATTAATCTTCTGTACTTATCTAATGCCATTACTAAGACTGCCTAAGGGAACAATTAAAACTAAAAGCTGTTCCGGCTTAGAAGATGAAAAGTACTTTAAGAAACTTTTTGCCCGCGGCCTTATTTTAAAACCACAAACGAAATTATTCGCTTTAAATGTTAACTAGATCACATTTTTTTAAATTTCTGGTACAACACTATCTAATTACAAACATTATTTAAATACAAAATATCATCCAAAGAATTAATATTTATGTGTAAAACGCCGAATGTTTCTTTTTTATTTGAGATTTTACGCTGTATACATTGTAGACTTGTTTATGATGTAATTTAGAATATAATTAACAACAATTTAAAAGTACACGGCTGAAAACCGGCCTCTCTAATAGCACCAAAGATTTGCTTTAATCGCTGTAGGCTGACCGGCGACCTGCCACTCGCACTCGCGCAAATTTTTTTTATAAAACTCTGCTGATAAGTGGCAATTGCAGCACTGGGCTCCTGCAAAGAACTTTAAACAAAGAAGGCTACGTATGTACCTGTAAGAACTAAGACGAGACGCCTCACAGTCTGTGATTATACTGCTATTAAAAAGGTGGATGCATTGGGCGATAAACAGAATATTCATCTTTATTAAAATTCAAAATTTGAATGTGTTGTGTAATGGAATCCCTAGTTATTCGATTTACACATAGCCAGTATTATTGAATAGTAAATAAATAGAACCAATTCTCATAAAATAGATTTATTGAAGAAAAACAAGCACAAATAAACAAAATATAGCAAACTCCACGTGCAAAATGAAAATATGCTTTATTAATATTTAATTTAAATAATAAGGTCCAAATTCGTGCCTTCCAATTCAATACCTAACCAATCTCACTCGCCATATTATAATGTAAAATCTTTTAATGAATTATAAAAATTAATAACTTATAGTTAAAATTATTTTGCGTAATTCAAAGTATGGTACAAGTAAGTTTAGTAGGTTGAGCAGGTTTTAACATTTTCAAAATACTGGATAAGTAGGTTCTGTTGCAATGCCACAGTTGTTGTCTCGAACTGTTATGTGGAAGTAGCCGTCTATGCCCCAGTTTGTGCCCCAAGAGTTTTTAACGATCCAGTAAGTTTCACCGTCCTTCTCTCCGTAGCCGACTAAAGTGACTTCATGGTTTAGCATTGTCGGATCGCTAAAATATAACATTCAAAACTTAGTGCTGTTTTTAAAAAATTCTTCAGTTTTATGTTTTGTGGTTAATTACTGAAGAGTAGGTTTGAATCCCAGCCAAAGAATAAAATAATTTGTTACCGTTACAGCCTATTAATGTCCACTGCTGAACAATAAACCTCCTTTATAGATTACCTCATATGGGTGATATTTGCCATAGTCGTCACGCTTAGCAATTAGGTTGAAAACAACAGTTTTTTTTTGTTTTTAGTCGTTATTAGAAAGACGCTGCTGATTTCATCTCCTGATTTGCTTCCCTCTGTCTGTTCTTACGACACCCACGGGATGATATAGCGTAGTGGATACTCTTACACCGCCACTAAACGGTATTAACTTGTAATTAGTTTTTTTTTTTTTTTTTTTTTTTATAGGAGAGGGGGCAAACGAGCATGCGGCTCACCTGATGGTAAGTGACTACCGCCGCCCATGAACAACCGCAACACCAGGGGAATTGCAGATGCGTTGCCGGCCTTTTAAAAAGGAGTAGGCTCTTTTCTTGAAGGTCCCTAAGTCATATCGGTCCGGAAAAATCGCTGATGGTAATCGATTCCACAAGGAAGTCGTGCGAGGAAGAAAACATCTTCTAAATCGCACAGTGGTGGACCGCCAATCATCCAGATGGTGTGGATGGTATCGGGAGTTCTGCCGCGATGTGCGTTCATGAAATTTGGCGGCTGGGATTAATCCGAACAATTCCTCAGAGCACTCCCCATGGTAGATGCGAAAGAAAATGCAAAGAGATGCAACATCTCTTCGCAGTGCCAATGAATCGAGCCGATCGGAAAGGGCTCGGTCGTCGACGATTCGAGCCGCTCTGCGCTGGATGCGGTCAAGTGGAAGGAGCTGGCACTGGGGAGCCCCTGCCCAGAGATGGGAACAGTATTCCATGTGAGGCCGAACCTGCGCCTTGTAAAGTTGCAGGCGGTGTGCCGGCATGAAATACTGTCCCGCTCTGCTGAGCACGCCAAGCTTTTTAGAGGCCAATTTGGCTTTCTCTTCCAAGTGACCACGAAACTGCACGTCACTCGATATGTCGACTCCGAGGATACCGATACTGGCTGAGGCAAGAAGGGGAGTGCCTTGAAACTGAGGAGATACGACAAAGGGGTTCTTTTTAGCGGTAAACGCGCAAACTTGTGTCTTCTGAGGATTAAACTGGACTAGATTTAGTCGCCCCCAATCCGAGACTTTGTCCAGCAAAGACTCGACTTCAGACACAAGTTTGTTCCGGTACTCGGCGACGTTTTCCCGAGAAATATTGGCCCGGCCGGTGTATAGAGCATCACCAGTGCTGTCATCCGCATAGCAATGAATGTTACCAGTTAGCAACATATCATTGATATGCAGAAGAAACAGCGTTGGTGATAGCACACAGCCTTGTGGAACACCAGCGTTAATAGGCTTGTAGTCAGAACATGCACCGTCTACAACGACCTTGATGCTCCGATCTGCAAGGAAGCTGGTGATCCAATTGCACAATTTCTCGGGAAGCCCATAGGAAGGGAGCTTCGAAAGAAGCGCTTTGTGCCAAACCCGATCGAAGGCCTTCGCAATGTCCAGACTAACGGCCAACGCCTCCCCCTTGGACTCTACTGCCTCCGCCCATCTATGGGTCAGGTAGACTAGAAGATCACCAGCTGATCGACCCCGACGAAAACCGTATTGGCGGTCACTGATCAGCTGGTGATCCTCAAGGTACCGGATGAGCTGGCAGTTAATAATGGATTCCATTATTTTGGAGAACAAGGAGGTGATCGCGATAGGCCTATAGTTGGACGGGTCTGAGCGGTCGCCTTTTTTAGGGATCGGGTGGACAAAAGCTGTCTTCCATGAGTTCGGGACAACGCCATGGGAGTAGGAGTACCGGAAAAGACGCGTTAGAACCGGTGCCAACTCCGGAGCACATGTCCTCAGCACAATTGGGGGGATTCCGTCAGGCCCACTCGACTTGTGGATGTCAAGGGAGAGGAGTGCTCTGCGAACCGAGCGCTGTGAGAATAGCACATCCGGCATAGAGCACTCACACCGCGGGATGGTCGGCGGTGTGTTCCCCCCGTAATCAACAGTCGAGTTGGACGCAAAAAGGGAGCCTAAAAGGTCGGCCTTCTCTTTTGCGTCGTGGGCCAGTGAGTCGTCCTCCCTGTGCAGAGATGGTAGTGATGGCTTACAGAAATTCCCTTGGACAGCCTTGGCGAGAGACCAGAATGCACGGGTTCCCGAAGGAAGGCCAACTAGTTTCTCGCCAATTCTGCCTATGTGCTCTGACTTTGCCTTGGCAATAACTCTTTTGAAGGACCTGGAGGCGAAGTTATACTTCTTTTTAAGTGTGCTGGTGTTTACATCCCGAGTCACCGAAGCCGCAGCCCAGGCTTGATAACACTCCTGCTTTCTGCGCAATGCAGTCTTACAGGAGCGACCAAACCAAGGCTGAAACCTGCCTCCGATGGGTACCACAGATGATGGAATAAATAGTTCCATTCCCTGTAGCACCACATCAGTGACAGAGTCAGCAACAGCGCTGGGATCATCCGGCGAGAAGCAAACCCGCCCCCATGGGTAGGATGCAAAGAAAGACCGCATTCCGTCCCAATCCGCCGACCTGTAATGCCAAACACGGCGGCAACCTGCAGAACGCAACCGCGAAGGGAGCGTGAGTGGCACCATACTCCGGATCAGACAATGGTCCGAAGAGCCGAGAGGGGCATCGACGGAAACCTGATATCCGTCCGGATGAGAGGTCAGCAGAAGGTCCAACAGGGAAGGTGTATGATCCTCCACATCTGGAATCCGCGTAGGCGAAGTAACCAGTTGTGTCAGACCATATGCCAAAGCAAAGTCATAAACAGATCTCCCCGCATGATTGGTTAAACGTGAACCGAGCCATTCGGCATGGTGGGCGTTAAAATCGCCAAGGATCACGATCTCTGCGGATGGGACCTGTTGTAGCAAGGAATCTGTAGCCATTTGGACGTGGTCGATGAGTCGGTCTGTTTCGGCATTACCGCTATGGGACCTATAGAGGCACCCGTAGACGCGCGGATGGTCGTCGCTGTCTACGCGTAGCCAAAGGATGGACAGGTCCGAACCTTCAAGACTGCCGAGGCGTCGAGAACAGATGTCCTCTCTGACATACACGCAAACTCCAGCCCGAGGCACAAAGGAGTGCTCCAATTTGTACCCCGGGCAGGAGAGATACGAAATATCAGCCGGAGAGGAAACCTGCGTCTCGGTCAGAAAGAGCAAGGCCGGCTTCGCCGTCTCGAGATGGTAGTGGACGGCGTTTAGGTTAGAGTGAAGTCCCCTGATGTTGCAGAAATTCACGGATAGCGTGGCAGGGGTCGCCTTGGTATTGTTGCTCAGTTTGCCCCAAGCAGTTTTGTTTTTGAGCGGAATTTTGCCCCCCCCAGAATACGCGGGGCAGCCTGAGCACCCACGCTCAGGATTGGAATAACATGGTCGTGGATGCTCAGCGAGGGATTCTCCAGGGGTACTGGTACCCTCCTGGGGTAGTCTACTTTGTAATTCCGCTACCATGTTGATGGGGGGGGGGGGGGGGGGGGGAATTGGGCCTCCGGCCACCTGCACTCACCAGACGAAACGCAGAAGCAGAGCCTCTACTTCACGCCGGTATTCTGTGAGGTCGTGGTACCAACCCGGCTCGAGCCTGCCCATACGTGCAACAGCAAAAAACTGCTGCGGGGCTCTACCACCGTTATACTAAATGCAAATTATTGGCTTCTGACCCTCGATTTTCCGTGGTCTTAGATGAAGATCCTTAACCCTCCCCTAATTTACGCAAGAGTCTTAGAAATACAAAATCGGTAAAAGTCTTTTATAGTCTGTTGAAATTTGAAAATGAATTAAACAATATTACAATCTATTTTTTTATACGTATACCCTTGGCATCCTTCGCCACTTTGTGTTTTTTTTATATGATAGGGTGACAAACGAGCACACAGTCCACCTGATGGTAAGTGGGCGCTGTGGCCCATAGACATCTACATCCATACTCGTTTGCTAATCAAAATGCGGATGCGTTGTCAGCCTTGAGGACTAAGATGGAATGCCTCTTTTCCACTAAAAAGGGTCTCCGGTTCATTCATTCACCATACGAAACACAGCAGCATTAAGCTGCTATTCTGTGAGAGTGCTATTATACGCTTGTATTCTGTGAAAGCGTGGTCCTTCCCCGGTCGAGCCGACCAATTCGTGCTACAACTATATTATAAACATAGGTGCAGCTTGGCTCTACCACGTGAAAAGTGTGTGCAGATAATCTCGATTTTCAGAACTTTCAATTCTACGGTGTTAAATATTTTTTAGTTAAAAGTAATTTACTGTAAGTTAAAAGTAGGTTACTGAAGTAAGAGGTGTTTTTTAGGTTTTTTGGGCTATTTACCGGTTCATTTAAAAACTCTTTAAAATTTAAAAAAGTCAAGGCTGGGAGCTTACACAATTTTCGTGAAATGTAGTTCCGTAAAATATGCCGTCCGGGTCCATGGCCCCCCTGTAACTACCCCACCCGCTACGCTACTGTCGTAACTTTGTTAGTGTCTCTTTGTTTCATACAATAATATGCAATTGAAATTATTCGGCAGTTGTGACCTCAAAGTAATCTGGACGTATACTTTTATTTTAATAATTTATGAACCTTACCAATTTTCGTCATAGAAGATCCCGCCGGAATACAGTTTAAGAGCTTTAGTTGCATGTATAGACACTGATAAGGGTCCGTGGTTAACGAGGGCGACCTAAAACAGAAGAAAAATATTGTAGAGTTTTTTTTTAAACACATCGATATATATATGTACTACGCACTAGATTTCGCATTCCGAACATTGACAATGTTCAACTGAACTGTACTGCAATCCGTACACTAAACTAAATATTGCGTAAATTGAAGATTTGTGAATTCCATAAGATAATAATTATTACATTTTCTTTAGAAATATGTTTGTTTAGATTAAAATAAGAGTATTTTATATTAAATTCTTATATTTATTTTATATTAATATCTTATTTTATATTAATTTAGTCTACGCGCATACGCGACTACACTATTATATTCGCGCATGCGCGAATACATAGAGTGGCACACAATTTTTGTTTGGAATAGCTTCTCTAGTACGTAGTACATATAATTTAATATTTAAACAATTATTTTAAACACGATAAACTTTTTTACCTTTAAAGCCTCAACGCTGAATGGAGTGACATCAGTAAATCCTCGGATTTGGTAAATGTCAGTCATGTTGTCGATGCGACAGAAGCCGTCCTGAAACAAGTAGGTATGTTATGTTCACAAGCCATCGGCATATAAGCATATTATTATATGCTTAGAGCTGGTGACAAAATTTGGCAAGGAATTTTAGGAAATCTAAAATTTTCTATAGTAATCCCACGTCATTGACCAATATGCATTCGTCATTGACTATACGCTTCCTTAATGCCTAGAATAATTTATAACCAAGCCAAAATTAGTTATCCTGCATTTAACTCTCGGATCACTAAGTTATTTTTTTATAGAATAGGGTGACGAACAATCACACAGCCCACCTGATGGTAAGTGGTTGCTGTGACCCATATAATAGAAAAGAATAAATTTTTATTCAATATAGATCACATGTGTAATTCTTATTGAAAGTCATTTTTTACTTTACCACTGGTTCGAAAAACCTCTGTCCTGGGAAGAACCAGCAAGAAATCCCACCGGGACTTTTTTTAAAAGCATATTTTACATTAATGGTTGTACAAACTATATAAGTACAAAATTTATTTTAGAAACAGCTTGGAAGCGACCACCTCATTCCCAGGGGTTGTTATCAACCATGTATTCATTTATACTATAATAACCCTTTTAATACAGTTTCAACTTAACTAAACATTTGAACTTGGTAATAAAGAGAACCTGTATACTTTCCGGAACCTTGTTGTAATAGCGTATACATTGCCCCAAGAATCAATTACTGACTCTGTGGAGTCGAGAAACTGGTATCACTAGTTTGTGTTTGTTCCTAGTGTTTACACATCTACATCTATCCTCAATAAAGAATCAAAATTCAGATGCATTGTCACCCGTGAGGACTAAGATGGAATGCCTCTTTTCCAGTAGTCCTCAGGGGTGACAACACACCTTCATTTTGATTCTTAATCTAGGATAGATAATAATAATAGCATCAGGTGCACACACTCTCCATACGAAACACAGCAGTGTTAAGCTGTCTTTTTACTCTGATATTCTGTAAGAGCATGGTTCTTCCCCGTCATTCATGCCACAATTATGCTACTAATATAGCTGTAGCATGGCTCTACCACGTATATTCTTTACCTGATATCGTAAGTTTTTACGCATACGCACACGCCCATGCACGCTCACATGAACGCACGAGCACACTGACATGCAAACTTAGTATTAGCCTATCCTTTACATTTAAAATATATAAATACATTAACTTTGGCCTCTCAATATATTTACGAGAACTTATTGTATGTACACAAAAATAAAAATAGTTTTATTAAAAAAATAGTGATGTATATTCTGTAAATACTAGAAACAAGCACAAGTTAGTTATACCAGTTACTCGACTCCAAAGGGTCAGTAATTTCTTCATGGGGCAATGTATACGTTTTTACAACAAAGTCCCAGAAAATATGTAGAACTTTTCTATCAAATTGTTATATTATTTATTAAGCAAAAATTGTCTAGTAAGGGTTATTATATTAATAAAGAGTACTTGACTGATAATAACCCCTGGGAATGAGGTGATCACTACCATACTGTTTCTAAATGTTTTCATAATAATTGTATAAAATATTATATTGTAAATTGTACTTTTAAAAAACAAACCGCTGGGTTTCTTGCTGGTTCTTCTAAGGACAGAGGTTCTTTTTTGCAAACCAGTGGTAAAAGTAAAAAATAAATTGGTAAATCCAATTGGGCATGCCTTAAGCGCATTAAAAAAATTACGTATAACATGATTATAAGGAATTTTTTAAAGTAGTTTAAATACATTTCGACAGCACTATCGGCTTCAGCACCCTCGAAAACCATGAAAATGACACCCATGATGAAAAAATTTGTACCTATTGCAGCCGCCACCTTGGATTTACATTTCGACAACACTATCGGATTCAGCACCCTCGAAAACCATGAAAATGACACCCATGATGAAAAAATTGTCACTTTTTGCAGCCGCCATCTTGGATTTACATTTCGACAGCACTATCGGCTTCAACACTCTCGAAAACCATGAAAATGACACCCATGATGAAAAAATTGATATCTATTGCAGCCGCTATCTTGGACTTACATTTCGACAGCACTATCGGCTTCAACACCCTTGAGAACCATGAATATGACACCCATGATGAAAAATTGGTACCTACTTCAGCCGCCATCTTGGATTTACCTTTCGACAGCACTATCGGCTTCAACACCCTCGAAAACCATGAAAATGTTACCTATGACAAAAAAATTGATACTACTTACGTTTAGTACGTACTACTATTATGTATTCTGTGCTTTTAAAATATTGTTATAAAAAATCTCGTATTATTATTATAATCAAGTATTTAGGAAATTTGGTTATTCGAATATTGTGTAGTTGTACAGCGATCTTTTGCTGCAAACAACCGAAACAATGTCCACTCACGATGGCGACTGACGCTTCTGTGGCTGATGGCTGTAGCTCCCTATTTACAGAAATAATTTACATACAAGGCTACCAAATCAACGAAAATTTCGCCATTTTGGAGCCGAAAAAAATTAATTATAGCTAAACAAAACCAAATCACATTGCCATTTACATTCATAGCTTCCCACATGATAGATGAAGAGATTAAAACATAGATTGAGTTAAACAATTGATATTTTCAAAAGTTATCGTATTTACAAGCCTTGGGGCATGATAAATCCACACCATAAGCCACTAAAACCCCTTTTTTATTTAAAAATAGCAATTAATCGATTTAAAATAAATATTAATAAGTTCAACAAGCATTTATCTTTCTAACAATGTGCTTTTTATATAATTTATATGTATAATATGATTGCTAGATAAAACGTTGGAATCTTAATTTTTAGGCGATAGTAGAACATACCTTGCGCTTTCGCTTAAGGCATGCAAAATACCCGACTTACTTGAAGATATTTACAGATGGTTCGAAAGATAATTTCGGAATCGGGGCCTCATTTTACGATATATTGCACGGTATGGCAATAAAGTTAAAAATCAATGGGAATATTTCAATAATGAAAGCTGAGCTTGTGGTAATCTATGAAGCTTTATCCTTCACACAGTCAAATAATTATAACAATGTCGTTATTTTAACCGATTCAAGGAGTGCGCTTCAACACCTTGCTCGGTGTACTTCGGTTTTCCGAGGCTTACCAGTATATATATGCGATTTTACAGCTTCTAGTTAATTTACAGGCTGATTCCAGAATAGTATATTTACAGTGGATACCTTCGTATATATTGGCTTAGAGGGTAATGAGAAAGCTGATATCTTAGCCAAGCAAGCTATCTCTGATGGCATTGACATTGATATTACCCCTTTATTTCAAAATTACATACCTTTATTGAAAAAATATTGTTATGATCTCTGGAAAGAATATTTTGACGAAAAATCAAAACAAAAGGGTATATGGTACCGTACGATCCAGCCACACCCAATGCAATCAACCTGGATAGATAACAGAGTATTGTGTAGACGAGACACTGTAACAGCATTAAGACTCAGATCTGGACACATTCCATGCAATAAATTTTTATACTTGATGCGAAAAATTACCTCACCAAATTGTTCAATTTGTAATATTATCGATGATGTTTATCACATTTTGATAGAATGTGCCCAGAACTCAAGAGAAAGAGCAAATTGTAATTTACATTTGTCCTTAATTGGTAGTAGTAATAATATTTTATCCGACCCGTTATCAGATGATGCCAAAAAACTGTATTTGTTAGTTAATAAGAGATTAAGTAACTAATAAACGTAATAAGTTTATTTGTTAGTAAATATTTATGATTTTTTGTAACTACCAGGGCGGCATAATCGCATCAGCGACAAAGCCCTTTATATATGAATAAAAAAAATAAGTATTATGTACTATAATCTATAATGAATACTAGGCCATACCTAGTTCTAGCTATAACTAGGTACGGCCAGCATTAGTTGCTTAAATTTAGGTGTACCGTTAAATTTGTAAAAATACGGAAAAACGTATCAAGTAATATCAGAGACAGTTGGTTAAGGTTGCGGTTAAGGTGGCCTTTGGGCCACTTTAAAATCGCCGACACTTATCTAATTTATAAATTATGTATGATACATCAACCGCAACCGACTACACTTTCTATTAGCCATCTACACCTACGTACACGTACACGTAACACGAAATGCGGTTACACCCAGTTCTAGCCGGCTAGAACTAGGTGTAATAACATTTCGACTTTTAGCTGTAACATATGCATTAAATAACAGACTTTAATTGTATACTTAACTGTTATCATAATTCATTACCTTATTCGTATACGTTCCATATTCTTCTTCTGTAGGCATACCGTGTTTCATCATCCAGTTGTAAGCTGCAGTGTCACTTCCACCGTCACACCCTGCAGCTCCAAAACTAAAAATATTTTATTCAATATAATTGTTATTTTTTTAAATACAGCCTATCAAGAGTCCACTGCTGGACATAGGTCTCAAACACAGATTACCATATTTATATATTGAGGGATGTTTGCCATAGCTGGTACATGCGGATTTGCAACCGCAGTTTTTTTACAACTTTGAGTAGTTTAAAGGAAGATGCTGCTGCCACTACTGTTTCAAATTTCTTGCACTTAACCCTCCCAGAAATATTGTTACTTTTTGTTACGTATTTTTTTTAAATGTATGTTACGGAATATAAATAGTGGGTCTGTTATGAGGTATAAATTATTGTATCACACCAAAAACATAAATGAGAAAAGGGGGACGTCCGGGCTTTCTGCTTCGCTGATAAAAGAGTTAGGCAGGTACCCAGCTCTATTGAAATTCTATTCATTTTCCCTGACATCGATTGTGCCAAGCTTGGGCCCCTTTTCCACATTTATGTTTTGGTTGGATATCATTAGTTTTTAAAAACAGTTTTATTCATTTTTAAACTAAATAAGTACCTACAAAAACCTCAACGTTTTTTGCATTTATGATTCACTACTTACTTTCTTTAATTTAAACCACTTAAAAAAATTAAAACCAGTAATTTTTTCGACACCGAATATCGATAATAATTGGTTTTCAGATTTTTTCCTTAGTGTACTCCTAATGATCTACATCGATGACAAATTTCAAGTTTCTCACTTAAGTTTGATAAGTCAGTGAATCATTGAGTGAAATGATGAAAATGACACGTTTCAGACCTTAACACATAACACATTTCTAGGTATTTACGGAAACTTTAACGGCCTAACAAGGTTGAGTTATTTAGGGTACGAAAATAGCTCAAAATGGTTCGTGTAAATGAACACTGTCGGCACGTCATCCATTTACTTTCTAAAATTCTGGCTTCTAATTATTCCACTATCTAATTTCAATTTATCCATATAGTTATGAATAAAAATAAACAAGCATCTATTTTTTTTATCTAAAAGTTATTACAGTAATATTTCTTAAAGAAATTTGCAATAATATGAAAAAAATAATTTACGTTTAGTTAAAAATAGGATAGTTGATTAAGATTTATTATATTTATACTAAGCTCGAAGTTGTTGACGAGTATGTTTACCTGGGACAAATAGTCCGACTAGGTAAGTCCAACTTCGGCCGAGAGGTCAATCGACGGATTCAACTCGGTTGGGCAGCGTTCGAGAAGTAACGGCACATCTTCTCGTCAGGTATACTTCAAAACTTGAAAACGAGACTGTACAACCAGTGCGTGTTGCCAGTCATGACCTATGGAACTGAAACATGGTCCTTCACTGCTGGCCGGACGAGGAAGCTCAAGGTCGCTCAGCGAGCTATGGAGAGGGCTATGCTCGGAGATTCTCTGCGTGATAAACTTAGAAATGAGGATATCCACAGTAGAACTAGAGTGATCGACATAGCCCGGATTAGTAAGCTGAAGTAGCAATGGGCCGGTGATATAGCTCGAAGAACCGACAACTGATGGGGTAAAAAGGTTCTCGAGTGGCGGCCTCGTATGGTGGATGTAGTGAAGGGCGTCCCTCCACTTGATGGAGTGACGACCTGGTAAGATATGCAGGAAGTCGATGAATGCAGGTGGCTCAGGACCGTGCTTTGTGGCATTCCTTGGGGGTTCAGCAGTGGAATTGTGAAGAGCTGTAATGATGATGATGATGATGATGATATTTATCTGTATTCCACACTACACTAATGTTTCACTTAAATCCAAAAAATATAGGATATAACTTACCCCCACGCGCAATCGATAAGGGCTTGGTTGCTAAGTCTCAACAGCCTGCCTCCATTGCTCCTGGCAAGTGCGCCCTCAACAGCAGATGTGGTTCCAAACGTCCAGCAAGAGCCACAGTCTTCTTGATCTGTTGAGATTTTTAAGAAATTAATATGAGCTATCTACTTTTAAACGTACATTTACCATTTACCGTTTTCAAGTAAATTTCGTTAAGCTTGTAAATCAGATCTTGCTGTCTCAATTTTATTTTCTTCCAATAAGGTTGTAAAACTGGCATACAGATTATAATACAGAATCAAGGTGGCTTCTCTGGGGAATAAGATGCAATATTTTATGGGTCGTCTCGACCGGTGAACGACCATGCTCTCACAGAATACGAGCATAAAATAGCAGTTCAAGACTGCTGTGTTTCGTATGGTGAGTGTAGAGAACCGGATACCCTTTTTACTGGAAACGCGGCATTCCATCTTAGTCCTCACGGGTGACAATGCATCTGCATTTTGTTTCGTAATTGAGGATAGATGTAGATGTCTATGGGCCACAGCATCAACTTACCATCACGTTGACTTTGTGCTCGTTTGTCACTCTTATCCTATATAAAAGCCAATGGAATTTAACCTTCAATTATAATTAAATAAAATTATTAAATGATAAGTTTAACATACAGGTTTGTGTTATTACCGTGAACAGGTGTTATCAGTCCTTCAATCCTTAGATCGAAATTTTTCGGTAAAATGTCAGCTATTTCTTGTACTTGCGTTTTAGTATATGGGAAAGGTTCAGTGCCGACGTCATTTTTACCTCTTCTTATCAAACCTCTATAACGTTCCATTTCAGCGGGAGTTTTGTCAGCAAATTTATTAATAGTCAGCTTGTAACCAAGGTTTTGACGGTTTCGTGTAATAATGAGTCTATAATTAAAAAATAAGTGTTAAGTTTTTTTACACTATTTTGTGAGAACAAAAATCGTCAAATAAATAATGTCTTGATTTTTATACTCCTGATAGTTATCAGGAGTATGAAAATCGAGACATTATTAGCTAGTTAGCTTACCTCATGTTTTCCTGAAAAATACTTCTCCTCATTGCATGCTCTTGGTCGTCAGCATATTCTCTACTGTATTTTTGCTTAAAACTAAAAATTATTGATTATTATTATTTGATTACATTAAGGATAAAATGAAATATAAAAAGTGTGTGTGTGTGTACTTATGTATGCACGTAGGAAGTTATACTTCTTTAGCGTAAGAAAACAAAAAAAACTTGAGAGACAATTACCCACTGAAGTTGTCGCTTTTACGTGTCAGTGTGCGCGCGCATCGTAACAACTTCATGGTGTCGTTTTTAGGTGTCGGTGTGCACGCGTATCGTAAAAAAATCATCTTCATATTTTTTCTCAAACGCCCCAAATGAAGTATAACTTCAAAAAAAACTTACGTCTCGAAACAGTGATCTACGTGTTGCTTGTTCTCTGAATCCATGAACATTAAATCATTAGTAATGTTTTCATCTTCCATGGTGTAAGTAACTGAATTTTCTTCGCAATCATCTGAAAAACATTTTTAAGTTAAATTTATCTTCTAATCAAATCTATTTATTAGGTATTTGTACAATGTAAAATCCGTTTTTTATGAAATAACTAAACATAATTTTTTTCTATACTCATTATTTCTATTATTTTTTTATTAATCAACCATGCAATCGACGCATTTTTGCCAACGCAGTGGTAGTTTATTAATGCCCTTCTTGAAGAAATCAGCTGCGATATTTTGCACTGCCTCTCGGATATTGAATTTTTTTACCGCCAAGAAGTTATCCAAATTCGGGAAAATGTAGCAGTCTGTAGGCGCAAGGTCTGGTGAGTACGGCGAATGACGGAGAGTTTCGAACTCCAGCTTTTGTAACTAGGAGACCGTCTGTTGTGCAATATGAGGTCGCGCGTTGTCGTGTAGGACCAGCGGGGGCGAGCGATTGACCAAAGCTGGTTGGAGACGTGCGAGCTTCTCCATCATTGTGTTCAGTTCTTCACAGTACACATCTGAAGTAATACTCATCCCGTTTGGTAAGAAACTGTGATGATTCAAACCGGCGCTAGACCACTAAACAGTGAACATCAATTTTCTAGGCGTAAGTTTTCGTTTATAGTTGCTGAGCACTTGCGATTGTCAGATAGAATCTATTTCTCGTCGCAGGTAACAATGCGGTTCAAAATTCCTTAGCAACGGCAATTTAAATAAAGACCTATTATTTTCTGAGCATATGTTAATTTATATATCTCGATATGGACATAATAAAATATACGGTTCTATATGTCCTGCCAGTAGGTATATAAAATATAAAATTATTAAGTGTATAATGTAAATGTTATTTCATGTTATGCTTAATTGTTGCTTATTTCATGTAAAATTAAATAAGTATGTAAGATAAAAGTATATTTCTTTAGTAAGATAAAAGTATTTAGAATAGTCTGATTGTAATTTTAGTTTCTACTATTTAGTAGAAATCAAATTTATTGAATATCTATAAAGTAAAATTCGAATAAGGCAAATTGCAATAAGACTAAGTAAATTATTTTAATTATATCTACTTTGGTAAAAAGCCACCAAAACACAACCATTTTTTATTAATGGTAATTATGTCACAAGGAATGGCTTTTACATATCTAAACTAAAAAATAAAATTAAAAGTTACGTAAAATAACTAAATTAAAATTAAAAATTAAAATAAACACCAACATAGATTATAGGTATTTAAATATAATCGTATTAAAATAAAATACAGTTTCTTATAATAACGTACTAAAAGTAAATACTAATAATACTACTTTCCGGCCTATCATTTTTCCAACTAATCAGTCGTACAATGACTGGAACGTCCTTAATGTTCGGCAACATTTTATTCTGCAAACAGTCCTAATGCAGCACCGCAAAATACAGGTAAACGTCGAAAAGACACAATTTGTTCTCTTCCACAAGTTCGCTCATCATTCACTAAAATATTCTTTTACTTCTTGGGTCCATCTCCTTACAATTAAATAAGCGAAAAATGTCCTATATATGGATTATCATTATATAACTGCAAGAAGACTGTCCGCTCATACCTTCAAAACACATCTTATGACGAAACAGAAAAATACCTGAACTGATTGATTATAAAATAACTAACCTGATTTATCTACTCTCTCACACAAACACACACATACACACGCAAACACACACGCACACACACGCATACGCACGCACACACACACACACATACACACACACACACACACACACACACACACACACACACACACACAAACACACGCAATCACATACACACGCATTCATTTCTCAATTTTATATTATAATTTGAATAACTAGAAATTGATATAATTGTATGCATGTAATTATTATATACATAATATTATGGGGATTGAGACTGTTACTCCTTAATGCAGGTTATTCTGTAACCTAGTTAGGAGTGCAGAGCTACATTCACTAGATTTAAGAACATATTTTATAGATAGTACAAAAATGTAATGTCAAACCCATGTACTACAATCACTTTAATATAAATAAAGTTATTCTTATTGTTATTCTTAAATAAAAAACAGTTCGATCATAAGTTGAAGGCGGAAGAGGAAATGCGAATTGAAGGTTTTATTATAATCGAAAAGCCGTTTAAATATACAGTGCTAACAAAAAAGACGACGGTTTTGCGACCCACCAAATTATATTTACATTGAAATTCTTTGGAGGATTTACTTCTGACGCAGTAGTAAAATCGGTAGTTATACATTTTTAATATTGTTATTTTTGCTGTAACAGATTTATTTATTTATTCTTTATTGCATTACCTAAAACGAAAGAATACAAAGGGCGGACTTAATGCCTTGAGGCATTCTCTACCAGTCAACCCATGGATTGGTGAGAATTTGACGTAGGTGCGGCAATATAGAATAACATAACACTACACAAAATAATAATTAACTACATAATACATATATACAAATATAATGCATGTATGGCATATACATACAAATATACATTATTTAAATACATATATACATATCTTATATTAGTCAATCATTTATTTACAGAACATTCAAATATTTGCAAAATTAACAAAAAACATGAAAAAAGACTAAAATTAAAAAAAATATTATTATACAGTCCTATAACCCGCCGTGTAGTACCAAGAACGCTGGCTACGTTTCCTCTATAAATGGTTATACTTAGTTGTAGCAATATACATTCAAAAGAACCCTTCGCTCCATCGTCAAACAAAACCCAATAAAATGTTAAGTACGATAACCCTATTTGGCCGGCAGATCCCCTGACAATCAACGGCCAAATAGCTATGGATCACATTCGACCACTGTATGACCTCGGCGAAACACATTCGTAATGTCTGCAACCGTGCCAAATTCGTCACTAGTCGCCTCCACTGACTAGTTAACAGCAAGAGCAAATTGTCTTTAAGACACAAGTTCCATCTTTTTTGCAAAGCGTGTGTAAGACCTATCATGTCTTAAACAAGCGTAATTTTCGCGCATGCGACTCATAGAAATACAAATTTCTCCAAAAAGTCGTCCAAAATAGATAAATTCGCATAGTCACCGCAGCTAGATGGTACCAGCGAAACTTCGACTTGCATAGAGACTGTCAACTTCCGACGATCTCGGAAAACTTCAAGGAAATATCTCGCCGCTATTTCGAGAGGGCCGAGACCCATCCCAAACGCTAGTGGTAAACGCAGCCAACTACGCTCAGACTTCGAACATTACGGAAAGCCCGCGGAGGCCCCGTAACGCTGTAATCGAACTCCCCACTCACAAACACTACACAATAGCCTAGTGCCACAAACACCGTTAGAACAACGGATGGGACGTAGCGAGTCCGCAGACGGGCGCGCCGCACACCCCTACACACCGCGTACACACCATACACCCGCGTCACTGGGTGCTTCTCACCGCCAAAAACATCGAACGATACGAGTTAGCCGTCAGAGTCGGGGTCCTCCAACCCGTGATCTGACGGCCGTTAGATAACCCATCTTCGTGTAATGTACACTACCTTAGGAGTCATCGTTACGCAAGTAACGATGCAGTGTAATATAAATTCATCCCTTTTTAGGCCTGTAAGTCGCGGCCCCGAGATCGATGAAGCTGCAAAGACAAAAAGGCTAACAACTTTAACATCATCAGAAACCAACTATACCTAGCTTTTGCATCAGCCCTCTTATCAACAGCAGCGACGACCAGTCGAGGTTTGGTCTCTACAGCAAATGGCAAATAGATCGTCTATAATTAAAAATTAAAAATTTTGTTCAGCCGACTTCAACATAAGTTATTAAGAATAACTCAAAAACTATTCGTCTGACCTTGATCAAATTCATATAGGACTACACGAGAAGTATGAAAGTATGAAAGCTGATCATATAAAAAAGAATCATCGAAATCAGTTCACCCAGTAAAAAGTTATGAGGTAACACACATAAAAAAACATACAGTCGAATTGAGTACCGTCTCCTTTTTGGAAGTTGGCAGAAAAACTAGTTTTACGGCTTTTATCGTGTGTATTCACTTTTGATAATCCCGACGTTTCGAGCACTTTACTGCACCCATGGTCACGGGGGGGACTGAGGAGTCCGACGTCCCAATATCATAGTTAACCACGGCTACCTCCAGATTAAATTTATTAATTTAAAAAATTTAATTAAATTAAAACCTACCTTTATTTAAATGTGTAGTGTTCGCGTAAACATAAGAAATCAACATATAGTCATCTCTCAACAGACTCATATTTGCGTCACTTAGTTCAGCTAGTTCTGATGTCGCCCCGGCTCTAAACCAAGTACCCTCCACTTGTGGGGCATCCCACAGGGAGGAGACTATCTCCCAAAAATATACTCATCATCTCTAAATATTCCACAAGGCTCCAAAACCGATGGAATATTTATAGAGACAAGTTATTCAGATAACATCGTTCAAAGAACCGTGACGGGTCAATCTACCACCATTTTTTTAAATATCACTTTAGAAATATACTATAAACTTTTGCTTTTATTGCAGATTATAATAATGAAATAAGAATCTTTAGTCAACTTACATTCTTCCGTGTTGAATACATCCTCATTAAAATCAGTTTTGAAATTATGAAATTCCCATATAACATGCTTGTTCAAATTTTCTTGCCAGGTGTTGTACTCGATCTCTTCAAATCTGAATAAGGATCGAAATAATATCAATTATTTAATGTTAAGTTAATCTAAGTTTAAAACGCATGCAAGCACGTGTTGACCTTACATTAGATTTAAATAATAAGAATTTAGAAAAATGGACACGATATGTCTACAATAATTACATATAAAATGCACCTGATAGGAATCCAAGCTTTGATGTCTTCATCGTATTTAGCTATTAAAGTTTTTCTACTGTCGCTAGTATCATCAATTTCTTGATAATAATATTTCGACAAGTTTCCTTCTCTTAATGTGTCAAAACCTGAGCGTAAAACGGAAATATTATTTATGCTAATACTTAAAATTTTTATTTTCGCTTACCTACTGATGCAGAATAATAAAGTAAATTATAAAAATATTAAGTTCTAAAAAGTTAAATGAATAAATTATTCGGGGCCTGGTTGATTTCACTTGCGAACATTAAGCAAGAAGGCTTTGTTTTGAAGAAGAAAAAGTTAAAATTCTATTTTAAAACAAGACGGAAAATTGAACTATAAAAAGCGTTATATTAAATAAATTAATTATCATTTTCCTGATTTATTTTATCAGAGTAAATAAATAAGGGATTATATAGATAATAATAGATTAATAAAATGAATGAGCTTAATATGTGCTTACCAATAAACTCAAAGTCATCCAAGTATTTCGGTAAAACTGTTTCCAAAGAAATTCGGTGATAAATTGTTCCAACGAGCTTCCCACATACCATCACATTTTCCTCTTCTTCAGTGGTTTCAGGGTGAATCTATTCCAAAAAGGATACAATCGCATATATTAAATTACAACAGTCGTTTATCATTACAGCCCATTATAAGTCCATCACCTCTATCCAGCGACTTCTTACATTTTTTACCAAATCGTCGACCCTATTGGGGAACGTTCTATACTTCACTTGCCGGTATGAAGCTGCAATGCTAGAACCTTTCAAAACTAGCAATAAATATTATAAATACGGACGCAAAAAAAAAAATAAGGACGTAATGATGCTCCAAAAAATTGTGTAAAGCACCTTACATGCTATCACCAACGCTGTTTCTCCTGCATATCAGCGATATGCTGCAAACTGGTAACATTCATTGCTATGCAGACGACAGCACCGGCCCGTGCTAATATTTCTCGGGGAAACGTCGCCGAGTATCGAGACAAACTTGTGTCTGAAGTCGAGTCTTTGCTGAAAAAAGTTTTGGATTCGGAGCGACTAAATCTAGTCCAGTTCAATGCCCAGAAGATACAAGTTTGCGCGTTTACCGCTAAAAAGAACCCCTTTGTCGTATCTCCTCAGTTTCAAGGCACTCCCCTTGCTGCCTCAGCTAGCATCGGAATCCTCAACATCGATATATCAAATAGTGTGCAGTTTCGTGGACACTTCGAAGGGAAGGCCAAATTGGCGTCTAAAAAGCTTGGCGTGCTTGGCAAAGTGAGACAGTATTTCATGCCACCATATTGCTTGCAACTTTACAAAGCGCAAGTTCTGCCTCACATGGAACACTGTTCTCATCTCTGGGCCGGGGCACCCTAGTGCCATCTCCTTCCACTTGACCACATCCAGCGCAGAGCGGTTCGAATGATCGACGATCGAGTTCTTTCTGATCGGCTGGGTTCACTGGCGCTGCGTAGGGCTATTTCATCCCTTTGCATTTTCTATTGAATCTACCACGGGGAGTGCTTTGAGAAATTGTTCGGATTAATTGCAGCCGCCAAATTTCACGATACTATCCTTACCATCTGGATGCTTGGTGGTCCACCACTGTGCGTTCTACTAGGAATTTTCTTCCTCGTACAACTTCTCTGTGGAATTGTTTACAACCGGCGATTTTTCCGGACCGATACGAATTAGATACCTTCAAGTAAAGTGCTTACACCTTTCTAAAAGGCCGGCAGTGAACCTGCGATTCCACTGGTGTTGCGGTTGTTTATGGGCGGCGGTAGTCACTTACCATCAGGTGAGCCGCATGCTCGGTTGCCCCCTCTACTATGAAAAAAAATTGTTTTACGCACACAAATGACAATCAGCACTATTGTTAGAGCTGAAGCACGCTGCACACTGCGCTACATGTTGCAATGCGCCAATTGTCGGATCATGATGCCTTTGTCGCGTGTAACAAACAACACTGTAGGAAATGGGTGTTTTATACATTTTACATTTTTTAAAGGTTTTGGTATCATTTATAAATCCGCCTCCTGAGCGTGGCTTGATTTTGATGGACTGACGAATAAGAAGATATATACTACAATACTTTTTAATATTACACTACTACAAATCAATTATTACATAAAATATAAACTAAACGGCATTCGGCAACCGTTTAAAATTAAAAAAAATATATATAAAGCTTTGAACCAACCTCATATTTAACTCCAAATTTTAATTTTTTGGTACCTTTCTTGGAAGAAATTGCAAATGACTTAACTGCACCATTATTATAATCCACTCTTGACCTATTATTTGTTCGCCTATCAAAAGTAAAAAATTTTCTTTTTAATAACCATTGCAAAAATGTTAGTATGGTATATAGCAGCAATTTCTAGCATCTACTACTAGTGCTTAACTGTAGAAGTACGTGTACGTGGTAGACCAGCGCTACAGATTTTTATGACTGCAGCACCAATGGATTGGTTTGATCGGGTAAGTACGTTCGCACAGAATACGAGCGTAAAATATTTGCTCAATGTTGTTGGGTTTCGTATGGTGAGTGAAGAGAACCAGAGATCTTTTTACTGGTAAGAGGATTCAAAAGATTTTATACGTAGCAGAGCCACGCTGCAGATTATTATGGTTGTAGTACGAAAGGATCGGTTCAACCGTGAAAAACTACCACAGAATACTACTATAACAGAGTACCAGCATATATTAGATTAGGATAGATTAAATAACGACGGGCTATTTTACGCAACTCCACGTCTAAGCGCGTATGTTGCATGTGAGCAAGAATATTACCATAAACAAGCAGATTAATGCTGATGTGTTTTGTATAGTGAATGTAAAGATATTAACTGGAAACGAAGCATTTCATCTTAGTCCACAGGGATGACAACGCACTTGAATTTTGATTCTTAATCAAGGACAAATGTAAGTGTCAGTGGACAACAGCATTCGTTAATATCAGGTGAACTGCATCTTAGTTTAATAAAACTGACCAAGTGTAGAAATGTAGAAGTAGGGTTCCGTAGTTGCCCGTTACAAGACGTTCCTGATAAAAGACCTTCTTGATAATGAGCATAATACGTGAGTACGCGGTTTGACCGCTATAACTACTAAAAATGTACCCAAATAGGAAGATGGTAACTAAAGGACTTATTTTCAAATCAGACTTACAGGGAGTGATATTCAAAAAAGATTTAAAAAACTTTTTGATTTAGAATATATTACAATTTACATCAAATCTTTCACATGTCAAGGTACAAATATGATCATAGTTGACTATCTATCTATATTTTCCTGGCAGTGCAACCCTGTACATATATGACCGTAACGAACCTTCACGTAAACCATCACTATTCTAAAATATCCTGAGGCCGCCCGCGTTAACCAAGAGTGTGACAAATGAAAGTGTATGAGGCTACATGATTGTTTGAATACTTTGAATGAGGCCTACAATAACTACCAACTAAAAAATAAGTGAAAGTAGTAAGTAAGAAAGATCCTCACTGTCTATCCCGCAAATGAAAAAGTAAACCTGTAGTAGTAATGCATATAAGTGCTTTTTTTTCCACAAAATGTTTATTTTTAACAGTTTACAATAACATTACAAAGTTATAATGCATCTAGTTTTAGGTCATTTTCTTGGAGTTGTAATGAAATGTTTACAAATCCAAGTGCAATTTATAAGTTGGTTGACAATTACTCGTTAACTTATTAATTCTACTTAGCCGTGATAGTTTTTTTAACTTCATTACATATACTACTATCTTATATACTTTTCACATTTCTAAAAACAGCGGTTTAGTTGGTAGAAGGGAGATTCGTGACAATGAAATTACCACTTTGAAGCTAAATATTTCGCAAACGGACCCCTGAATCGAAAAGATGTTGTTCCACACACAATATACGGGTAAAAAAACATCATCCTCCATTTACCTGTATGGGAAGTAACCATAATAAAAATGTTTTTCAAGATTTTATTTCACAGTTTCCGAGGCATGATGTCTATAACTATGCCAAAATACAGATTTGTAGCACCTTGGGTATCTGTGTAAAAGCGCGGACGGACGGACGGTCAGACATGGCGAAACTATAAGGGTTCTTTTTTATGTAACTACGGAACCCTAAAAACGAGCTGTGGGGTAATCATAAAACCGCTAATTTAAAAACGATCAAAAAAGGAGAAAAATTGTGTACATATAGATCTCTAAGCAGATCTTATATTATTGTGCTCAAAAAAGTAACTTACCCTGACTATCCTATTTATGTTGATTTATGACATTTTTAGTCTCTTCAATATCCGCGGAATTGCAGAGTTATTTTTGTAGAAAATTTAACAATGTATTTTATCTAACTTTTAGGTTTTTGGTGAGGTAATTTTTTAGGAGTGTGCATAATATGTTCAAATAAACGTACCATACTTTGATGTCTTCGTTCCAGCCTGCCGTGAGCGACATTTTTGATGCTTCAAAAGCATATTTTTTAGGCCATTTTAGGGCTGGTCGGGAATCATTCTTAACTAAAAAATAATGTTTTTGTATTAATATAATATTTATATGTTATGTATGTACCTATAACTTAAATGTTAATGAAAATCCATTCCACAATAAGGCGGCAGAGGGAATCTGAAAAACGGAATTAGCAGCTTCTTCATAATAATAACTCACAATAATACAAATATGCGGCTGGTAATCCGCCTGCCAAGCGTGGTAACTGTGGCAAATATTTGCATATTTAATAGAATCAGGCGTTACTTTACAGAAATAAATTATAATAAAATACTCTTTAAACAACTTTAAATATCTGCTTTATTTAAATAAGAATATGTGTAGTATTAATTATCGTCAAGCAGTAAGTTTTTTGAACGTGGAAGACCCACGCTGAAGCCATGCAGGTGGCAGTACGAATGATTCGGCAGAGTGGGGAAGAACCACGCTTTCACAGAATACCAGTGGAAAATAGTAGCTTAATGCTGCTGTGTTTCATATGGTGAGTGTAGAGAACGGGAGACCCGTTTTACTGTAAACGAGGCATTTAATCTTATTCCTTAAGAGTCACAACGTATCAAGAGTCAAAATGCATTTGATTCTTAATCGAGGATAAATGTCTATGTATCACATCATCCACTTAACACCAGGTAGACTGTGTGTTCGTTTGTCAGCCTTATTCTATAAAAAATGTATTAAAACTTACCAACGTAGCCTAATGCAGAAACGGCCAACACTAGAACTATAATAATGCTGGAGTGCATTATTATAGATGAGAACACTTCAATAGTGGTATTCACGATAAACGAAATAGTTTTGCAGGCGCGCTTTTATATGGTGCTTGATTAATCCATGGTTATTAATTAATAGCAATTAATTTATAGCTGTTACTTTAAATCATGTTGATTATCAATAATGAGAAGCTTATTAACTGATTATTAATGTAAAAAATTAGGACATTTCATAACTAACAATTAAAATTAAAACATTCATAAATACTGCTCTCGATTTTCTCAAATATTTTATACTTCAAGAAGTTTCAACACATCAAACTTTTTTTAATTTTTACAAGAGCTAGATACCATCTTCTACTTTCTTTCTTTTTTAAAAAACGTTACCCCCACACTAGGTTTTTCTCATGTATCGTAGAGGCAGTTTACAAACGTAAATTGCACAAGGACAAACATCCAGACCAGGAACAATTATTTGCAGGCTATACAAATACTTGTACCGTGCGGGATTCGAACCCGCGGCTTTCAGCGCAGCAACTCATTGCTAAGCCACTGCGCCACGGAGCCATCACCATTAAGTTGTGTCATTGTTATTTATATATAGTATGAGTCATAAAAATCAATCATTTGTGTTTCCCAAGCTCGTAAATGTAGCTTCTAATGTAGTTGCTGTAAACCTATCTCGTAAAGTATTTAATTTCGTGCTATTGTACCTTCAGTTGTTGCCTTTCTCTGTATTATGTAGATCACATTATACCATAGAGATTACAAGAAGTTCGTAAATGCAATGTACTTTTAGAAAACCGAGGATGTCACTGTAGTCGTAGTGCATCATTTTGTCTATTCTACACAACATTTACATTCAGAATGAAATATATATATTTATAGAATAAAGACAATCGGAGCACACGGGCCATCTGATGGTAAATGCCTTAATCTATCCTCGATTACGAATTAAAATATAGATGCGTTGCCACTCTTGAGGACTAGGAGTAAACATATTAAAAAAGGGTCTCCAGTTCTTAACAATCAACATATGAATCACAGCAGAGTTAACCTGTTATATTGCGCGAGAGCGTGGTTCTTCCCTGGTTAAGCTGAACGATTGGTGCTGTCATTATAATATAGATGTATCGTGGGTCTACCCCGTTAAGTATATTCACAGATAGTGAATTCTTGTTACGCGACGTTTCTAAGTACAAGTATAAGACTTAATTACACGCCTGAAATCCCTGAGGGCTTAGGCAAAGTTTAAAGAGCAGCGAGCTACTACAATAACACACAACACACAATAACGAACCTAATATCCCATTAACCGGTCTTTTACAACGTGTTGGGCAAGTGACACAATTAGTACATATTTATATATATATATATATATATATATATATGCTATAAGGTGGTTGCAGACTGACAACTAAGCTATTCCGAAGCCAAACAAAGGCAGCTTAGCTAATCTAAGCTTAGATAAACTAAAAATATGCCCCGTGCACACCTAGAACTAAACGAAAGCTCAGTCAATGTTGTGAAGTTCAGTTCGACGGACGTCGCTCACCGTGAATATAATCCATAAAGAAAGTTCCGATGATGAATATGTTACACATAGAAAAAGAAGATTAATAATGACCTATTATTATTTTTATAAAAAAGACATTCCAGAAGCGAAGGGGGTGCGGGGCAGGCGGGAGAGTCTTAGCTTAGCTCGTGTAGCTGCACGGTATACACAACTAACTTAGCTTCGCATATTTTAGTTAGCTCACATAGCTTAGTTTGCATAGTTTGCAGTCTGTACACAAGTATGAAAAACTGCGTCAGCTATACGAGCTAAGCTAAACTAACTTAGCTTGGATCTTGGTCTGCAAGCGCCTATAAGTTCTACATAAACATAGGAACTATAAGCCCCAGACCAAAGTGAAAGTTGGTTTTAGGGTTTTGATGTAACGTTATTGACTTGATATTAAGGAATTTGCGCCATATAAGTGTTAAATTTAGTAAGGGTTGGTAGAACGAGTAAGTGCTTCTCGGCTTGCACTATATATATTATGTACATGTGACACTATGATATTCTGTGCTGTTAATAATATTCGATATTCAGATATTCGAAAGTTATCTACCTGGTAACAACTGGTTTGAAAAACAACATATGATAACGATAAAATATCAGTCAAATTTGTACAATGCTTAATGGGTAGCCCTGTTAATTAAAATGTGCTTTGATGAATCTCGATAATTTTAACAAGGTTAGAGGTAATTCGTTATGGTAACTATTATGGTATGCGTCGATAAAAACTTAATTCTCATTAGTTGAACAAATTTTTTGTAAGAGCTTGACTAACGTAGTGTTCATAAAAAACCACAGAGTGAAAAATTCGAAATAATGTAAAACAAAATAATATATACATCTAATATAATGTGGAAGGAAGGAAGGAATTAAATAATATAATATAATATATGCAGGAAGTCGATGGATGCAGGTGGCTCAGGATCGTGCTTTGTGACATACCTTGCGGGAGGCCTATGCACAGCAGTGGACTTGTGAAGGGCTGTAATGATGATGATGATGTTGATGATAATATAATAACTATATCAGATATTAAGCATGATATATTCGTCCATAATCCATTACCCTCTCAAAAATTAATTCATGCTTAGTTGAGAAATTTCTAGGTATCTTTTTTCTTTTTTATCAGCACGTCGGTCCACTGCTGAAAATGCAGTCCTTGAATTGTTGTAGGGAAGATATGATGTAATTTCCCGCTTGGTAGGTGAATTGTCGAATATTAGTGAGTGAGGTATTTAAATTTATGCAAATTTATTTCGAATTTCTTTTTCGGGTAGTTGCGCGCGAGTGTGTAAATTTACGAGAAGCCAATAACAGGTTCTGACTAATAGAAATACAATAACATAATCTTTTGTCGTTTAGTGGACATAATAACACTACGAGCAACAAAAAGAGAGTATAAGTTAAATGTAACAACATACATAAATGCAATAAGTGAAAAAGACAATAATAGCCACAAAAGAAAAGAAAAGCAGGACTATAATATGTACGCGCTACATAATATTTTTTTTTTAAATAAATTACGACACAACAAACTTTCGACTTAATGCCCGCTTTGCTGATACCTAGCGATCAAAATTATGCTTTTTCCATAAATTATTCAAATTATTTTATGCAGGCGTGTTTGTGCGTGTTTATGTGTGTGGGCTAACGTGTGCGTGTGTATGTATGTATGTCCACATAATTATGCAAGCGAAGAAACGCCAACATAAAACAGAGTAGCAACCAAAAGGCAAAAGTTATTCTTTACATATAAACAAAATTTATGTGTCTGTTTATAACAGCGAAATAACACCCATTATTGAGCTAACTCCCTGAGCATTTAGATATGAATAATCATTTTTAAAATTTGTTAGTTTCACATCCTGACAAAACTATTTGAAGTGTCCTCCTGCAAGAGCAGCATGCGAGTAAGGATAGACGAAGAGCTCACAGATGACTTTGCGGTTATTATCGAACTAAAACACTGTTTTTTTTTTTTAAATCATTGCTGGAGTATGTCCGTAGAAAAATGCTTGCTATAGATTGGAGACTGGATCTGAATGGAAGACATAGGGTGATACGATATGCTGACGACAACTATCGACTTTACGAAACGAAACGAAAAAAACAGAACGCAAAGAGATTGCAGCAGCCACCAGGATTTTGGAAGCGGAAGCAAGAAAGCATGGACTTAGAATCAGCCTAGAAAAAACAGAGTATCTCCATATTAAGCTCTACAAACACTTGCATTCAGCGCCAAGATCTATGTATGAGAATACAAGGTATAAGGGAGTGGCCAAATTTAAATATCTGGACTGCACTATTAAGAAAATTAACACCGGAGAGCAGGAAATTGAATTACGCATACAAAATGCTTAAGATGTAGTGCAGCTCTGCATAAAGTGCTAGTTTGTTCTTAGTAGAGAAACGAAAATTAGCATTTACAAAACCGTGATAAGGTCTATTCTGACAAACGGTTGCGAAGCCTGGACACTAACACAGAAGAAAGAGGACAACCTCTTAGTAGCCGACAGGAAGACCCTGAGAAGGATCTTTGGCCCAGTTCGAAGGGAGAATGGCAGCTGGAGGTTCTGGAAAACTCCGAAAAATTCATAGCCGAGCCAAACATCATTGGAGAAATAAAAGCTTATCGCTTCCGGTGGCTCGGTCATGTAGAACGGATGGGAGAAGATCGAGGTGCAAAGAGAGCATGTTAGGGTAGTAGTGTAGTTGTACCACTTCTAGACCACCTGAGTCAGACGTGGTTCAACGACGTTCGTCGACGCCCGATCCTAAAAAAAAAAAAAAAAAAAAAAGGTTTTGGCATGCTCTGATCACGAATCCGCGGTCCATTTTTGTGTAGAATGCACGGTTCCGGAGATGTGTAGATCAATTAGCTAATATCTAATTGATATCCGGTAAGGGCCTCCACCATCATTAGCGTCCCATTGTTGTTCCTATTTCTATTGTTCTATTGTTCCTTAATCACCTTCATTGCAGCGTGTGCGTCGACTATATCAGTGCTATTGTTTATTATAATTCTTTGTTTATACAACGCTAATCTGAATCATCAATAAAACACATTACATAATTTTGTTACAATTTTTATTTATAAAATACAAAATCTTATTAATTATTATCTATAAAATAGGAGCGAAACATCTCATCCACTAAAATATCGTTGTACAATGTGTTCCTTGTAAATATACTCGTAAAACTATGTATTGAACATCCTTGAAACTTATATAGTAAATACATTAAGCAATATTCGCCACAAACTGAAGTCCACTCATTCTGAATCCTATCAACATTCCAGTTCCATCTTTTACAATTCCTTTTTAAAAACTCTAGATGATATCGTACAGGTGATCGTCCATATGAATCAAAATATTGACCGACGTCATTCGTATCGATATATAAAGCTACCCAATGTGACCCTGGTTTATCATCTGTATCCAAATTACATATTATATACGTTGGTACGTGGGTA